TGGATGCCAGTTGAAGCCCCACTTGGTACTGCTGCCCTGAAAGTGCCTACATTCATGAATAAATTAATTAAATAATGAATAAATTAATTCAGGAATAAATTAATTCATGAATAAATTAGTTCATGAATAAATTTATACATGAACAAATTATATGAAGAAAAAATTACTGAAAGTATACAAAGTAATTAATCTTTAAAAACCATGATAATTTTTAAAATGAAATTATTCAAAGCAAATATTTCCAAACTTAAAAAATGGAAAATGAAATGTAAAAATAATAAAGTGAAAGCAAAAGAAAGGTGAAAAAAATTAACAAAACATAGGCTTTATAAAATATAAAGAAACAAAAATAAACAATTCACATTTATGTAGGAAAGGCAAGTAGATATGTCAAGAAAAGGTTAGCATTGTATCTTATATTTCAATGTAATACACATTTAAAATGAAAACATCATGGAAAAAACTTCAAACTAAAAAAAATAACCAAAAGGAAACTGCAAAAAATTCACATATAAAATATAAATTAAAATGATAATGATATAACAACAATTTTTAAAATTATATTATATTTAATTATGATTCATAATTATCATAATTTATTCTCAAAGGCACCTTTGTCAGTTGTGAGATCAACTTCCACAGTTGGATTTCCTCTGCTATCAAAAATTTGGCGGGCGTGCAACTTCTGGATCACCATGTTTGACTTTTTTAACCTGAAGAATAATATTTTCGTAATGTAATCTGTCAAAATTTTTTTCATAATTTATTTGGGAGAAGTTGAAATTTGTGATATTTTGCATTTTTTGTTAAAGCTCTGCTAAAAAAATGTAGTTATAAAAACTGGAAATCATTTTAAATTTAAGCTGCTTCACTAATAATAAATCAAAATCACACGTTAAGTGACAGGTCGGTCAATCCAATAAAAACCAACTCAATCTGACATATCAATTTCAAATTTGGTGAAAGTTGAAGGACACCACTAATTCCAAAATCCTTCACTAACAATACTTTTTGCAATTCATAAAAATTTTAAAAATATAGATATAAAAAACTAAAAAATAACATAAATTAACAACATTTAAATGCATTTAATTAAATATTTTAAAAATTAAACAAAAAATTTCAACCGCAAAAGTGACTTTTGAAGCGAGGAGTAGACGAGATCAAAACTGACAGAATGTGTAAAAGTGAACTTGAGCAAGGCACTTTAAATGCATGTTCAACCTTTAAATGCCCTTCAGTGTGACTTTCATACAAAAAAATCATTATCCACTTTAGTTTTGCTAAATAATTTATTTAACGTTTGGAAAAGTTAATTATTGTTACATCTTTTAAAAATGACACACTAATTTGATCATACAAATGCTCGATTGAAATGATTTTTTGATGTTTTAATAAAACAATTTAGCGTCAAAGAGACAGGCTTTCATGCTCCGGCGGCCATTCTATAACAAAATTCCATCAATCTATTAAATACATACACATTTATTTGTAGTTCAATGTGAAAGTTTCCCAATGTATTTATAAAATTAGCTTGTTCAACCTTTCGGCCAATTAGATTAGAAGTTGTTAAAAATGTTCTCTGCCTCTTCTTCAACGCAATATCAGATCTTGCCAACGTTCAATCAATCAATCAATTGATCCATCGATCGATCGATCGATCAATCAATCAATCAATCAATCAATCAATCAATCAATCCATCAATCAATCAATCAATCAATCAACCAAAAAAAGTTATTTCCGCGATGTTCAACAGCGCTCCCCAATGAATTTTGCAAACAGATGGGTCTTGAGATCAGCTTTGAACTTCGTAAGTGATGTAGAAGTAGTCAGAGAAGTAGTTGGCTGACACTTGGACAAAAACTCATTAATTTTCAACCACTTGAACCAATTCTTTCATTGTTTATAACTCTGTTAAAATTTTGTTAAATTTGCATACTAATCTGAGCCATAATATATTTTCCATGAATCCATGATTGATTCCTCTTCTTCCCAACAACATCATTGATCAAAACGGCATATCAGACAATCTACATCAAAGTCAACGCAATTCCTACGCATGCAATCACGACATATCGTGATGAAATGTTCATTTCTTGGCAGTTGAAGTCAATTTTTTTTCTAATCATTAACGTAAACATAACGTAAATCCATATTTATTCATAAGTATTTTTATTCTTTCATTGCTGCTAAATTAAATGCACGGCTTGTTATTCATTCGGCACGAATCGCTGGTAAAAATTTAGGGAAAGCACCGCCTAATTTCAATAAAATTTCATGCTTACAGTTCATGTGTAAGTAAGATTTTGTGTTTACATATGAGTAAATAAACCAGAGAAACACCAAACGTGTCGCGGACATTTCGTTTCAGACTAGGTGCTATGAATCGGTTGAAAATGAATTTGAAAATGAATCTGCTGATATTATCTGCATTGGTTTTGATCCAGATGTTTGATATTTTTTATGCACTCCCAGATTTGAACAAGCATTTCAAAATTTGTGCTGTAGATTAATGTAACATTAATAAAATGAAATTATTTAGAAACTGGTCACAGGTATCGCGGACCAATTCCAGATAACACTCACTACAACTGCGAAAATAAAAATTCATGCGTCGAATCCGACTATTGGTTTAGATCGTATTATTAATTTCGCCAAGACTCACCGAACAAATTTGTGCAGTGTAGCGAAAATACTGGACAATGTTATGAGTTGTTATGTCCATCTAACATGGTATGGAGCACCACCGTTACGGTATGCATTGAGCCGTGAAATATCACACGAACATACAATAATAAACGAGCATTTTAAGATTTAAAGTATTGAAATAAACATTACTACATTACGAACTTTACGTAAAATTGATGACATTAAAATTTGTTCATGAATAAATTTTAAAATGATTTGCGTCTGTTGCTATTTTAAATGAAGATGTAAAATATTTAACATTTTATTAAATAAACCAACGACGCTAAATGTTGGACGTGTCGGCTATATCGTTGAAGACACGTTCAACAGATCAAGATGAAACATCAATTTGACTTGAATTAATTAAAATTAGTTAATTGGAAGGGCAGGCCATGATGGTTCAGTGATTTAGGTTACCACTATTACAACATAGTTGCTTCTTGCCAATCTATGACGGTGAAAAGGCTACTAATGTAAAGCAATTCAGATTTGTCAATTAAATAATTTATTTTTATTTTTTATAAAAATATATCAATTATTTTGTCATATTTACTTCGTTTAACTAATTTACGGGGAACATCTGAATTTATGCATTAAGCAATTGAAATTTTACGTAGACTCTTAAATTACGCTCGAAGGAAACACCAATTTGTTAATGGGTGTTTAGTTTGTGGTAAAACGGCTACAACTCTGATGTATCACCACCAGTGACACTGTTTGACATTCGTGCAACGGAGGAAGAAGACCCAAAGATGTCACCAGCAGAGCTCGTTTGCGGCACAACACTCCGTCTTCCCGGAGATTTTTCAAATCCACGGCCAGACGCAACCGAGAACAAACACAAACGTGAGTTCCATCCCAAAAGACCTCTTCACCACTGCAACCTCCCTACGATTAATCCTACACAGTGGCGAAACGACACCCGATAAAATAAATAAATTGATAAATAAATAAATAAATAGATAAATAAATAAATAGATACATAAATAAACGAATAATGTCTGCTCACAAAGATTTTATTATTAACGTCACACTCCTTTTTTTCATGCTGTTAGATATATACCTTCAGCTTGCTCTTCATTCGTCCCGAATCGTTCGTAAAATTTTCGGAAACCACCTTTAACAATTTACTAACATTTTACGGTAGTAATCAAATTTTACGCTTGTGATAAATGAGTAACTAGCTCTTTTGTTGTATATGTATATATAAGCCAGTGAAACATTAAACATGTGGTAGGCATTTAGCATTTTTAGCATTTAGGCATTTTATTTTACTTAATAAGCTGCTTTATCTACTACTTTGTGAATCCTACGTGCGAATCAGTTGGAAATTGATTTCACGATGAAACTGTTGGTATTATCCTTGCTGGTTTTGATCCAGATATCTGGTTCTGCCAGAGCTACTCAAAGTTCGTACAGGCATTTAAAAATTTGTTTTGCAGATTTATGTATAATTCATAATATTGATGTTAATAATATAATAATAATAGTAATATTAACATAATAAAATTATCTAATGCAGGCCATCAGGGATATGGAATACCGGAAATCCCGCCTGGCATGTTCTGGAACTGTGCTGATATAAATCCTTGCGTCAAATCAAACTATTTGTATGGATTGTATTTCTATTTCCCACATGAATCGCCAAACAAATTTGTGCAGTGTGGTAATTCTAATCAGTGTTTCGTAATGAATTGTCCAGCAAGTTTAGTATGGAGCAGAATTAATCAGACGTGTACTCGGCCTAATTCTAATTAGAGGACGTTAAGGCTGGATGAAGTTGTGGTGAAAGTTGGATGGATTTATTCAATTAACCGGTATTTTTAAATTACAAAAAATTGCACTCAACATTTTGTAAAAACGGACTTTATGCCAAAGTTGATGACATTTAAATATATTCGCGAATAAATTTGAAACTTAATTTTGTCTTTGACTTTGAATAAAGATATAAATATTAGATGTTTTGATCAAAAGAATAACAACTAATGAGTTAAAATTTGTGTTAAGTACGTTATTACCCTATATCGTTGACCCGCCCATAACAACCGATAGTTTAGAAATCTCAAGTTATAATAAAAAATTTTTTGTCCATTTGTTTTTGAAAGTGTGTGTTTAGCCTTTGTCTCGATCCATTTAGGTAAGATTTGATGAAAGAGGATTTAAAATTATTATTTAATCAATTTATTGTTATTTTTAATTATTTCAATTTGATATCAACTCTATATAGCTGATTTTGGTATTTATTTCAAATCAGTAATACACGCATAGGTACACGGACGCCAACATACATAGGCACAAACATGCACACGTACATCAACGCATACATGATAATCATGAACTAAAAACATGTCGTGTAAGGAAACGACCTTGACATCTAAAAAACTGATGATCATGGACTCACAAAATATCAAGAAAGGAGCCGACCTTGACATCTAAAAAACTGTTTAAAATCATTTCATTTCATTGCGATATCAATAATGGCCCAACGATTGTGGCCCAACTAACAAAACCAAAATTTGTTAGTTGAACTGAATATAGAGGAGTTGATTCCAATTAATAATATATATATATATATATATATATATATATATATATATATATATATATATATATATATTTTTACAATATTCTATAAATTCTACCGAATGTTTGGCGTTAATATGTTTGTAGTTCGTTTTTTCGATTTTTCTCACTAAAGTTTTTTGGTGAACGTTTGGTTTATTAAAATCAAAATAAACTTATTTTTCGAATTCATGCTGCAAATACGGCCATATTTCGATTCCGAATGAATCATCGTCAGTGCTCCTTGCTGTATATATAGGGAAATATTGACTTTGTCAAGATTAACTTTGACGTTGTAAAAATTAACTTTGGTGTTGTAAAATTGAACTTTGATGCGAATTAGGTGTCAGGTTTCTTAATTGGCTGGTCGTCTTCTTTGGTCTCATTTTCTTCATCGATAGCATCATATTCTTCTTTGTCACTATTTATGATGCTAGTTTTTATTACTTCTTTTTTTTCGTTGTTGGTTAAGCGCCGGGTTGGAAGTGAGGTTGTCATTTTTTGTTGTATATTTATTTTTGGTTTATTGATGTCGATTAGGACTGCTTCTGCAATTTTAAGATGCGTGTAGTTACTGTTCTGGTATATTACTTTGGTGTTGCTGTCGAGGATTTCACGGCTAATTGTGATTGAGTGTGTTGAGTCCAAGTGAGATTTGATAGCACCACTCTGTTTATGCATCGTAAGCCTTCTAGTCAGTGAGGTAGTAGTAATCCCGATATATGAGTCATGTTGACGTGCACAGCCGTCAAAGGGGCAATTAAATTCATATATTACGTGATTACGCTTTAACTCAGAGTTATCTTTAGGACTGCAGTTGTTTTTCAGTATTAGGTGAGACGTCTTTTTATTGTTGTAATAAATTCGGAGTTTAACTTTACTATTTGGTTTGGTTTGTGTGACATTTTTATTGATGATATGCTTAAGAATAGCTTCATCTAGCTTCTTCATCTGTTGACATGTGATTTCTGTAAAACAAGATGATGTCGTTATCTTGATTGTTGGTACTAGGAAGGTTATTGCTGTGCAGTAATTTGTTTTTGACAATCTTTTAAATAAAGTAAGTCTTATATCAATTGTTTACAAGCAGGTTGGTGAAAAACGTCGCGATTTTCAATATCAGAAGAGTGTGTGAATGCCCGGTTCACAAATGATTTTATTGTGCTGTCTTTAAATTGTTCAATGCATTCACATTGTCCATTCAAACAAATTCCTGTATTCGTTTCTTTGACATAGACCGCGGTTTTGAATCGTTCTTCGCCACGGGTGACCAACACATCGAGGAAAGGTAAACGTTGTTCCTTTTCACTTTCAATGGTAAATCTAAGTTTTGATTTGTTAAAGGTACCAAGAAGTTGGGTGATATGATGCTATGAAGTAAATGAGACCAAAGAAGACGACCAGCCAATTAAGAAACCTGACACCTAATTCGCATCAAAGTTTAATTTTACAACACCAAAGTTAATTTTTACAACGTCAAAGTTAATCTTGACAAAGTCAATATTTCCCTATATATACAGCAAGGAGCACTGACGATGATTCATTCGGAATCGAAATATGGCCATATTTGCAGCATGAATTCGAAAAATAAGTTTATTTTGAATTTTAATAAACTAAACGTTCACCAAAAAACTTTAGTGAGAAAAATCGAAAAAACGAAATACAAACGTATTAACGCCAAACATTCGGTAGAATTTTGGTAATATGTTCGGTATAACATTCGGTAATATTGTAAAAATTATGGTCTATTACCAACATATATATATATATATATATATATATATATATATATATATATATGTTCTAAACTGAAAAAGCTTTCTTTTATTGTTACTACCCTTTTTTGAAAAGCTTGTACTGTGCCCTCTTGTGTTTCTATTTTGTGTAGTAAATTTTAAGAATAGGACGAATGCCGGTAACACCGTCTGCGGTGGTTTGGTCATGTCAAACGAAGTGGAAACAGTGCCATAACTTCTCTTGCAGATGTTGAAGTACCTGGCACACGTCTCAAAAGCCGTCCAAAAAAGTCCTGGTCGCAAACAATCGAGCAAGACATGAAAGCTCTAAATTTAAATGAAATGGATACAACTGATCGTCTAATTTGGCGCAAAAAGTTGATGGCAAAGAAAACAACGTCCTACCTCGGGAAACTGGGTCTCTGGACGCTAAACGAAAATTGATTGATTGATAGGGATGAATCTATCTTACCTTTACCTATTATGATTTTGTATGCCTGAATAAGATCTCCTCTAGTCCTACGTTTGTCCAAAAATGTCAGTCCACATCTCTTCAATCTTTCCTCATATGAAAGTTTTTCACAATTGTTAATCATCCGGGTTGCCCGTCTTTGAACTTTTTCCAACACTTCTTTGTCTTTTCGTCAGTGTGCACTGTATGCAGTATTCTAATTTAGGTCGTTCTAACGTTTTATATAGATTTCACATTATTGATTTATCTCGGTTAGCAATCGCCTTTTTTTTATCATGCTAAGCGTATTGTTTGCTCTTTTTGCTGCTTCTATACATTGCCTGGTAGGTTTCCCATTTTGTCTATAATTATTCCAAGGTCCCTTTCTTCCAATGAAACCTTTAGAGGTCTGACTCCAAATTCTAATAAATTTTGCTTGTTTATTGTCCTCATGTGAATGACGGAGCATTTATCTATGTTAAATTTCATTTGTTGGTAGTGAAATAAACGTTCAACAAAGTTGGTATTGGAAATATAGAGACCATTGTAGTTAACATCGGTGTTGGTAGTTAGGAAAATCAAGGGATCTGCAACAATAAACCATATTTTACACTGTTTGCATGTCATCTGCAAATTTAAAATTTGTTGACTTTATTTCCTGATCATATGTTAAATGATCAATCCATAGAATATATCATACGTATATACTCTCTCTCTCTCTCTCTCTATATATATATATATATATATATAGATATGAATCAATCAATTGATTAGCGCTATAATAATAATAATAATATAAAATTATTAATTAATTAGTAATTATTCTATTTATGTGTATAAAACCATATAATTAGAATAACTACAACCACATAACTAGAATAATAGGACTAATCGATCAATTCGATCTATCGGTTGGGCTATTTGTCGTGCTTGGATTGTTGGCTTACGAAATTGCATGGATTTTAACGAGCAAGCTATATGAAATATTTACTTGATTTAATATGCTTAAAACATTGAAGTAATTCTATTTAATTTTAATAATGATTAATAGAATTATGTATTATTAAATTATTTTTGTTAATTTGAATATAAAAATTGCTTTTGGTCCGGTGAAATCCGGTGGCTTACTGAAGCCGAAGGTTGGCTTAGTAGGATTGAACTATAGTCACCTTTTTTTTTACACTATTCGATCATGTTAAAAATTTGTTTGCTTATGAAATAAACGGCCTAAATAAATCAAAATTGTTATTTGAACAACTATCTTCATTATATTCAATGAATATTTTACACTCTGCTGGTGCTCATAAGAAACTGGCTGCTGAAATCATAAGTTGGCTTACAGCAGTGGCTTACAGGGTTTCATAGAACTCTTACGATAACAGTTTTTTGTACATATAATGCTTTAAATAAATCAATATATTCATATCACAATTATATTTGTCAGTATAAATATAGAAATTGCTTTTGTCAGGTGAAAAACAGTGGCTTACTGAAGCCGTAGGTTGGCTTAATCGAATTTTTTCTCATGTATACAATACTATGAGATAAATCAATCAATCAAACAATCAAACAATCAGTCAGTCGGTCGGTCGGTCAGTCAGTCAGTCAGTCAGTCAGTCAGTCAGTCAGTCAGTCAGTCAGTCAGTCAGTCAGTCAGTCAGTCAGTCAGTCAGTCAGTCAGTCAGTCAGTCAGTCAGTCAGTCAGTCAGTCAGTCAGTCAGTCAGTCAGTCAGTCAGTCAGTCAGTCAGTCAGTCAGTCAGTCAGTCAGTCAGTCAGTCAGTCAGTCAGTCAGTCAGTCAGTCAGTCAGTCAGTCAGTCAGTCAGTCAGTCAGTCAGTCAGTCAGTCAGTCAGTCAGTCAGTCAGTCAGTCAGTCAGTCAGTCAGTCAGTCAATCAACCAACCAATCAACCAATCAACCAATCAATCAACCAATCAACCAATCAACCAATCAACCGATCAATCAACTAAATTGAATGAACCAAATAAACAAAAATAAAAACAAAAATATATAAAAAAAATTTGCAAGGCCTGTTCAAACTCGAACAAACAGTTAACCGTACAGATCTACAAACAATTTCGAGATTTTAGTAAAGAAAGAAAAACACAATAGTTGCTTTTATTTGAATTCATTCAAAAATAAAAAGTGACGGTTAATTAAAATCTTAAAATGTCAATTTTTTAAAAAAATTCGTATTTTAAATAAACAAATATAACAAAATATCGACCGATAAAAATAATTATTATCCATTATTATTATTATCATACACACTCCTTAGAAGTTCTCGAAGGATAATAAACCACGTAACATGAACATTTATTAAAAACAGTTCACAACATATCATAATGACTAAACCAACATACTAAACAGAAATAATTTATACATGCATATATACAAAGTAAATCAAGAAATATCCAAAAATTATATAACCAATTTAAAAAAACTAGAAACCAGTCAACATTTAATGAATAAATAAATAGACATTATTAAAAAGATTGTTCAAAAAGGTACAATTTAAGGCGACGACAAGAATGAAATGTAGTTTGTTTTGTTGGTGTGGTGTTGTGCAGCGAAAACAAACACATCACACAAAACTAGTAAGAAGTCGCAAAAATAGTAGTCAGTCACCTACCTATAATTAAATTACTCTCAGGGCCCTAGCTTACTTATAATCATTGACTCAACTCACTTACCTACAAATTTGTATTTCTCGTTTTAAATGTTTTAAGTGTTTTATTTAACATATTTTAGCGTTTTTATTTTACTTGAAGCTTTTTAACTAATGTTAAGCCCTAGCCTACTTACAATTGTTTAACTCATCTCAGTCCCTAACTTACCTATGAATTAAATTAAAGCCCGGCTCACGGTAAAGAAAATAGAAAGTTGAAGAGAAACATAACAACAACGACACCGAATGAATGGATGTTGTGTATGTATGTGTTGTATTGATGTGTGTGTATGTAAATGTGCGGGCGCGCACTCTCCAGAAACTTCACTCACTACCGACGAACCTCCATTGCACCGACCATCATCTGACACGCATCGATGGAATGAATTTGACCAGATACTGAAAAATAAATTGAAAAAAAATTCACTAAAATAAAAAAGCAATTGGAAAAAATAGGCAACTTATCTTTTTGAGATAACACAAAATCTTTGTTCAAATTCGAGTAATTTCAAATGTTCAATGAGACGAAAACAAATTTACCTTTAACATTATCTTCGATTTGTCATCGGAACGATCATCATGAGACCACCATCTGAAACGTGCTGACGCCCACCACAGCCCACCTCTCATCATTCTGTAGACAAGTTTTTATTAATTAGCGAAGTAGTAAATCAAGAAACAAAGGAACGAACGAATAAATGATTAACTGAATGATTGAACGATTGGTTGAATGAATAAATTAACTAATTAATTAATCAACCAATGATTTAATGAATGAATAGAATGAATCAATGAATAAATTAACTGAGGAATAATTTGAAAGATAGTGATGAAATGAGTGAATGAATGAGAAAAATAAAAAAAAGAAACTAAATCATACTTCAAAAACCGTCGTTGTTATCTTCGAATTGTCATCGGAACGATCATCATGAGACCTCCATCTGAAACGTGCTGATGCCCACCACAGCCCACCTCTCATCATTCTGTAGACATTTTTTTAATAGCGTATTAGTAAATCAAGGAACAAAGGAACGATCGAATAAATGATTAACCGAATGATTGAATAATTGGTTGAATGAATGAGTGAATGAATGAATGAATTAATAAATAAATGATTCAATTAATGAATAGAATGAATTAACGAATCAATTAATAGAAGAATAATTTAAAAGGTTGAGTGATAAAATGAACGAATGAGAAAAATAAAAAACGAAACTAAACCTTACTTCAAAAATCGTCGTTACTGTACTTTCCATTGCACCGACCACCACCATCTGGTCGGCACACAAAATACCATTCGAACTTCAGAGTGTCAGTCGAACAGCCAACGAGCTGATTCTTTCTACACCACCATCATCATATGTAAATCATCAAGAGACCACCATCTAAAACGTGCTGACTCCCACCACTGCCCACCTCTCATCATTCTGTAAACAAAATTTTTTTATTTGTGTAGTAGTAAATGAATGTTAGAATCTTAGAGTTAAATTATAAAATGAAAATAATGTCAAATAAATAAAATTTCAAAATAATAAAGTAAGTAAAATGTAAAAAAAACTTACCGTCGTCCATTCGACAAAGGCAGAATGTTGAATGCGGTCCGATTCCTATGTTGTCCTCCAAAACTGGTGCCAGTCTTCCTCAAGATTGTTGTTGAAACACAGCTCGTGTTGATGGAGAAAGATAAAGAGAAGATTCTCATCGGAAAGCTTAGCGTGCCTGCATCTCAAATTGCTTAATAAAAATAATCCTATCTACCTATTCAATTACCTTAGCTAATATATATTAAATTATTAATGGTACGATAGTCGAAAGTCCCCCTTCATTCTCCCTCCTTGCACAGAGGTTCACCGACAGCCAGGGCACCGGATAGTAAACCATTGCCGTGCGGATAGTAGACTATTGCCGTGCGGATAGTAAACCATTTGCCGTCCGGAAGCCGTGCGGGTAGTAGACTATGGCCGTGCCGCATAGTAAATCATTACAGTGCAGATAGTAAACCATTGCCGTCCGGATAGTAAACCATTGCCGGTTCACCACTGGCCACCAAGGCTTACCTCTGACAAGGGACTTCGAAATTCAGAGTCTATCGGCTATCGTACCCTCAACTTACCTATTCACTACAATTAAGCCCTAGCTTACCTAATTTTACAAAACTCAAGAGCCCAATTCATTGGCCTTTTGGCACCCACCCCACCACCTACGTAATGCCTTGGGCTCCAACCTAGTAATAATAATATAAAACTTAAACCCTAAATCTATTAATGAGTATGTGTTACAACGTAGCCTTAACTTACCTATTCATTACATTATGGTCCTAGCTTACCTAAAATTACAAAACTCAAAAGCCCAATTCATTGGCCTTTCGGCACCCACCCCACCACCTACGTAATGCCTTGGGCTCCGACCTAATAATAATAATGTAAAACTTAATAATTAACCTACCTATCGATACACTTACAGCGTTTTAATTTACATTACAAGATTGTTCCTAGAATTACATTATTGCCCTTAACTACCTATGAAATTAAATTACTCTCAACCTTAGTAATAATAAATTAGAATGTGTAATGAAAATAAAATAACGCTCAAATACTAACATATGTGTTTATGTATGTATTTGTGCGTGTGTGTAATACGCTGATGCGTGTAATGTGGGTGCAAGAAAAAATAGAAGCGATAAACTTACGCGCCAACCTATTCAACTACATTATTGTTGTATGCTTCCTATCTATCCTACCTACAATTAAAATTATGCCTATCTAACCTACCTATATAGCTACGTAATGTAATTGTGTGTGTGTGTGTGCGTGTGAGCATTCTTACTTAATGTTAAATTACAGAGAAAAACAGAGAAAAAAGAATAAAACGTATCCCAGCCAGGCGAATCTTTTTTGCCACTGAATGAACGAACGTAGTCTGACATCTTCCACGATGAATTCCTTTGGAAGCTTCAACCTGAATAAAATGGATGAAATGGAAAAATCTTATTTATTTGACTAAGTTAAATGAAAATAGAAAAACGAGCCGCGGTGAATTCCGCCGAAAAAGCCAGCCAACTGGCAAAGAAAGGAACCGCAAAGAAACCGTAAAACGAACCTCAGCCAGGCGTGCATTCTTTGCCACTGAATGAACGAACGTAGCGTGACATGACAACCATTCTGATCATCCACAATGAACTCCTCTGGAAGCTTAAACCTGAATGAATGAACCTGAATGAACCAAAATGAATGGAAAATCTTATTTAATTAAAATGAAAATAGAGAAACGCAAAGAAGCCGACCGGTCGGCAAAAAAAAGAACCTCAAAGAAAGGTATCTATATAAGATTTATGCTCTATATAGGATTTATGCTCTATATAGGATTTATGCTCTATATAGGATTTATGCTCTATATAGGATTTATGCTCTATATAGGATTTATGCTCTATATAGGATTTATGCTCTATATAGGATTTATGCTCTATATAGGATTTATGCTCTATATAGGATTTATGCTCTATATAGGATTTATGCTCTATATAGGATTTATGCTCTATATAGGATTTATGCTCTATATAGGATTTATGCTCTATATAGGATTTATGCTCTATATAAGATTTATGCTCTATATAAGATTTATGCTCTATATAACCATGCATACTACCACATTCAATCAATAAAAATCCCACTAAAACCAGGAACCACCGCGTACCTGCTGAATGTATGATGTGAAACAAAACAAAACAAAAATCACACCACCAAGTAGAGTAAAAGAATAGGAGTCCCTAACCTACCTATGTAACTAAATTACCTTATGCCCTATCCTATCTATATAATAAATTAATTTTTACCTCACCTACCTATGCTTTATTAACTTAACTCAAGACTCATGAAGAAAGAGAAAAAGGAGTAAAACAGAACATAAAATACTACCACACAAACAAACATGATGTATGTATGTATGTATGAGCAACCGCTAAAGAACCCACCTAAAATATAAAAAAATACAACATACAAACACACAAACCACAGACATGCAAACTCTATATAACTCTATATAACTCTATATAAAATAAAATTAAATAAAAATAAATTAATTAAAAAAATATAAATATAAAAAAATGAGATCAGGCACTCCGACTCGAGCGAGGCAGAAATGCCTGATCTGATTTCAACAATTTTTCAGCTCCTATTTATACTCGTTTCAACCATATATTTTCATCATTTCAATCATTCACATCAATAAAAAACTTATTTAATGTATGTACTACACTATTGTACAGGCTTAACCAAAATGCTAACCGTACTAAATTGAAGTCATCGAACGAACGCCTTCGAAACTTTCTGATTGGCTGGTTGAATCTGCTATATTGCTTTTCATATAAACATAATCTAATCTAATATAATTTAATTATTTGTATACATGGATTCCAGTCACTTTATATATTTATAATAAAAATTCATTATAAAAGCAACAGTAATCAGTGCTATATATATAAGCACGCAGTTCAAATTTTTCCGGGAGAATTCAAAATTGTTTGAGACCACACCTTGCTTAACATCCAATGCCAAGCCGAGCCAAGCCAAGCTGAGCTAATATGCATAAATTCATTATAAAAAACAACAGTAGCCATTACTATATATGTACGCACGTAGTTCAAATTTTTCGGGAAGAATTCAAAATAGTTTAAGACCACACCTTGCTTAACATCCGATTCCAAGCCGAGCCCAGCTAAGCTGAGCCAATATGCATAGATTTATAAGCGCTTTTATGTTAAAATTTTGCTCGCTATATTTATATATTTTATGAATTTATTATAAAAACAACAGTAATCATTGCTATATATGTACGCACGCAGTTCAAATTTTTCGGGGAGAATTCAAAATAGCTTGAGACCGCACCTTGCTTAACATCCGATTCCGAGCCGAACCAAGCCAAGCTGAGCCAATATGCATAGATTTATAAGCGCTTTTATGTTAAAATTTTGCTCGCTATATTTATATATTTTATAAATTTATTATAAAAACAACAGTAGCCATTACTATATATGTACGCACGTAGTTCAAATTTTTCGGGAAGAATTCAAAATAGTTTAAGACCACACCTTGCTTAACATCCGATTCCAAGCCGAGCCCAGCTAAGCTGAGCCAATATGCATAGATTTATAAGCGCTTTTATGTTAAAATTTTGCTCGCTATATTTATATATTTTATAAATTTATTATAAAAACAACAGTAATCATTGCTATATATGTACGCACGCAGTTCAAATTTTTCGGGGAGAATTCAAAATAGTTTAAGACCACACCTTGCTTAACATCCGATTCCGAGCCGAACCAAGCCAAGCTGAGCCAATATGTGTAGATTTATAAGCGCTTTTATATTAAAATTTTGCTCTCTTTTTAAACGAATATCCCAATATAACAAATTCTCCATTCTATTTTAACTTTCTTTGATGCTTTTTAATCAGTCAGGTCACAAAAATCATTATCGATATCGCAATGAAATCAATTTTTAATTTTTTTTAATTATTGATAAAATTTTTAAATTGTTGATAAAAATAACTAGTATATATAGTAAAACGTTTAAAATTTCCTGAGAGAATTCAAAATAATTTGAGACTACACCATAACACAATTGTACAATTTGAATATATAAATACAACATTATAAATGTATTGTAATTACGTATACCGGCTGATTAACTACCATGTAGTAAAATAACTACTGTTAACATGAAACCATTTTCTCCAACGATTTTGCAACTAATTGCCCATACCATATAATTAGAATTAGAATATAAAACCAAAGACAGGCTAAAATATTGTCTAACAAAGTAACTGGTTTTCCATAAAGTAAAATTTTTAAATTTGTCATGTTTACATTAACATCAATCTTTAATTCATTTTTTTGAAAAATTCAATTTTCAGCATGAGCGAAACACTCTAGTAAGTTTTTTTTGACAAATTTAACCATCAAAGTTTTTTTTTCCAAAAAATGATTATTTAGTGAACATTAAAATGTCTTTATTTGCAATTATGATATTATTATATAATGTGATTGTGATTTTAATTTTATGGTGAATCTTGAAACCCTGGCTCTCTACTCTATAAGAGTATAAGTCTAAAACTTTAACTAAAAAAACTTACTAAATTTTCTAGTTTTTAATATTTTTAATTTTTTTTAAGAATTGAAGTTTTGAATTTATAAATTTAAAAAATATTTTTTAATAACTGTCAGTAAATAAATTTTTATTAAAAATTTATTAAGTATCAATATCAATTAACTAATTTATTAATTGGCAGTAAATTGGGTAGATTCAATTAAAAGTTTATTATTAAATATAAATTTAATTAAATTTAATTATTTCCAGTTCAACATGCGATTTCTGGCAATTTATATCAGGTGCCTCTGTCGTCTGGCCAAAGGTCTGTGTGATGATCTGGGTTTTTCCCATTTATTCCTTATCACAATTATTAACATTGTTAACTACTTATAATGTCTTACTCTAGTGCTCTATTAACAACACAATCATACATATAACATATATCAAATCCAATATAGTTTGTTTATATGTATATATATATATATATATATATATATATATATATATATATATATATATATGTATATATATATATGTGTGTGTGTGTGTGTGTGTGTGAGTTTCATACATATAACTTATAATATAACATATATCAACACCAACATAATATAGTATGCATATGTGTGTATGTCTGTGTTAGTTTGTTCACTTGTTTATTTGTGTGTGCGTGTGTGTGTGTGCTAGTGTGAAATCACATACAGAAACTTCCTAAAATACTTGAAATAAATAAATGTGAAATTAGATTAGAAAAATTGAAGCATGTAGCATTTAGTTTTTACCTTTTTGACTTATAGTATAAACTTTAAAAACTGTAACTGAATAAATAAAATCTACACAAATAAATAAAATATGTGCATCGTAAAAATGAAAATAACCTACGCTGCATATACAGATGAATTAAATTAATAAAATCCATATTTAGGACCTCGTAAAAACAGAGCTGGAAATCTACCGCGGAATATTAAAATCATGCCTGAATTATTATCAGCCTTGGAAGTATTTAAAAAATAATTTCTTCTTGTTTAAAGTTTGAAAAATTTGAATACTTAATTTTACTGTGCCACATGTTATTGTTATTATTATTATTATTATTTATTATTATTATTTTTATTGTGTTTGCTCTGGCATTTGTTATCATCATCATCATTATTATTATTATTATTATTACTGTTCATGTTATTATGATCATTATTGTTCTTTAACTTATAATAATAATAATAATAAATTATGATTTTTCATAAAGCAAAGACAGCAATGGATGTAAACAGTTGGAAGGATTTTCGGAGCCTCAGTTGAAATTCATGGCATACCTGGCCGAAAATTTGGTAAAAATAGAGTTTATTGTTTTTATTATTATTATTATAGTTATTATTTTAATTAATGCAATTAATTAATAAATTATATTTAATTCACTAATTAATTAATTAATTACAGAACCTTGACCTTGAGCAGTGTTCAAAGTTGTTTGAGATGTATCTGTCGAGGTGTTACGAGGGAACTGATGATGATCTCGATGTTCGTTTCATTCATGATAATGATGCTGGCGATGATGATGATGATGATAATGATTGCGATGATGATGATGATGATAAAAGTTATGGCGATGATGACGATGACGACGACGACGATGAAATTTATCTATCAAAAAATCAATTACCATATACTATTTTTAACTACTACTACTACTGCTGCCGCTGCTACTACTACTACAACTACTACAACAACAACAACTACTACTACTACTACAACAACTACTACTACTACTGCCACTACTACTACCATAATCAGATGTTATTATTTACAGAAATTGTTATCAAGAGATCCAAGGAGAGATGACCAGCTGAAGGGACTGATTGATGACGTCAGTGCATTTTATTTCGCAGAGAAACTGAGCTTGGTCAGGTCACTGAAACTCATACTGGCCTATAGCAAAGATGGTGATGTCCATCCGTATAACGTTAGTAGTGGTGGTGGTGGTGGTGGCGTGTGGTGATGGTGGTGGTGGTGGAGATGATGAGAGATGATGATTGAAAGAGATGACGATTTTATAGTCTGTTGTATTTTTTTATTTCAAGCGTCGCTAACATAGTTTATTGGGGGAATAATTATTATCTGGCTGTTGTACTCGGTATTCTATTAGGGGCCAAAGCCATGCCATGGGCCGTCTGACCGACCCGCGGCATGAGGGCTGTACCCCCCACCCCACCAAACGTTACCATTATCATTATTGCCATTATCATTAACGTCATCGTCGCTATCATCACCATCATTGTGATGAGGATGGTGATAATTACATTCTATAGAACGAGTTCAAAGAGTTCACCACTGAACATTTGAAAGAGGATTTCATAGTTGATGTTAGTGGATGGATAGATGGATGGATGGATGGATGGATGGATGGATGGACGGACGGACGGGACGGACGGACGGGTGGATGGGTGGATGGATGGATGGATGGATGGATAGATGGATGGATGGATGGATGGATGGATGGACGGACGGACGGGACGGGTGGATGGATGGATGGATGTATGGATGGATGAATAGTTGAACGAATGAGTGAATGGGTATATGAATGAATGGATGGATAAATGAATGAACGAACGAACAAATAACGAATGAATGTGAATGAATAAATAAATAAATAAATATAAATAATAGCCAATAAATGAAATATATCCATAGGTGTTTTCTCAGTTTGACAAGCTGCACATGGAGACGTGTGGGGCACCTCACAATGCTTCACTGATGGCCAGGAGCAAACAACTGGAGACTGTCAATATTATTTTTTATTCATTTTTTTTATCATTTAATTATTAATTTGTCATAATTTTTATTATTTATTGTTATTATTATTATTGTTATTATTATTATTAGTAGTAGTATTATTAGTTTTTTATTATTATTATTATTTGTATTGTTATTTGTATTTGTATTTCTGCTTGTATTATTTGTTTATGTTCATATAATCTCACACACACAAAAATACACACACACACACACACACACACACACATACACACACATAAAAACACACACACACCAAACAAAAAAACACACACAAACAGAAACACAAACACTCATAGAAATACACACACACACACAAACACACACACACACACAAAACCCACACAAGCAAAAACACACACACACAAACACAAATAAACATACAAACACATATAAACACACACGCACACACAAAACACACACACACAAACAAAAACACACATACACACACAAACACACGTATAGATCGGCAGCCGCAGTAGTCAGAACAGAGGTTTAGATAATTTGAAATTGCTGTGCGAATTACTGGACTTGGTACTGCTGTACTTCAAGTGTACCGTACTTACAATGGACCAACTGCACTCCATGTTTGAGATGTTTAAGGTGATGGTGTTTAATGATGATGATGATGATGGCGACGATGATGATGGCGACGATGATGATGATGATTGTGGTGAAGATGATGATTGTGTTGATGATTGTGATGGTGGGGTTAGGTTGTTGATGATGTGGCGTGAGTTGTGTTTACATTTTTTTAACAGCTGCCAATATCAATTGCTAATGTCCTTATCAACGATTGCCAACATTTTCATTAACAAATCTCAACCTGAAAAATCTAAATATCCTTATTTAACATTCCCATTTTTACTTCCAGGAACAGTGGATTTGGCAAAATATCCTTATAAACCATTTCAATTTTTACCTCCTCCAGGAGCAAGAATTTGGCAAAAAGTTGATAGCGAGCAAGCATATTCTGGACGGCAGTGGATCACACGCCTACGTGAAACTGGCTAACCGTATTAGGTGTCTAGATGTTGTTTATAGTGCAATATTGTATGAATTTAAATTTTGCCTTTTCAAATTTTCTTGCTACGGATATAAAATTGAATCTTGATTCTTCTGGGAAGTCTTCTGGAAAGTTTATTACAGTGTTCCATTCTATTAAATGTTATATTAATATGATGTTATATTATATTATGATATTGTGATGCGGTATAGTAATATATTATTATATTATATTATGATGTTATATTATTTCCAGCTACATGATGGTGTTGTTGGTGGTAGATGGTCTGGAATTGGAGTTGCTGGTTGAGTCATGTTCTCTGGGTTTTATGGAAGATGAGCGGTTTGTTGTTGCTCCTTCTGCTGATGATGACGTAGTTTTGGGTGTCGCTGATGACGTCATTTTAATGTTTTTGTTTTTGATGTTGTAGTTAATGTTTGTTTTTTAATGTTGTCGTTGTTGTTGCTGATGTTATGTTGTTGATATTTTTGTTGATGATGAAGACGTCATTTTAACGTTGTTGTTGTTGTTGATGATGATGACGTCATTTCAGCGTTGTTGTTGCTGTTGTTGATGATGATGACGCGATTTTAACATTGTTGTTGTTGTTGATGTTGTTGATGAAGATGTCACTTATGTTGCCGATATTGCTGTTAATGTTGTTGTTGATGAAGACGTCATTTTAACGTTGGTGTTGTTGTTGCTGTCGACGATGACGTCATTTCAATGTTGTTGTTGTTGATAAATGTTGAAATTTTGACCTATGGGATGATGTTATTTTAATTTTGATGTTAATTCGATCTGCAGTTCTGGCATGAACGAATTGATACTGGCTGACGCTAATTACCAGGTTGTCACATTGCTGATATCTAAACTTTATTTATTTATTCGTTCGATCATTCATTCATTCATCTCTTCATACATTCAATCATTTCTTGTTACTGTCGTTAAGTTTTGAAAATGTTTAAAATATCATTCAAATTCACTGTACTTTTTTTCTTAATAATAATAATAATATTAATAATAATAATATATAATAATAGCAATGACAAAAATAATAAAAATAACAAAAATAACAATAAATGAAAAACTAAAATTTTAGAAGTTCAGCCAGCAGATAGTGAAGAACCTTCCAGCAGACAACAACGTAGACCCCCTCTCCCCATTCCACCTAGCCTGGGCCGTGGTCCAACACCTAAAGGGCGATCCACAGTTTGGGGCTACGGGGAACAAAGCCCTGGCCGGTGGGGTGTTTGCCTATCTGTACGAGCGGTTCCTGGACGAAAGGGAGAGCAGATATGATGAGGTTGGTGGTGTTTTTTTTTAGTCAATTCAGATGTTTTATTGAGTTATTAGCGATCCAAGAGTTCGTTCATTTATTAAACTATCCGTTAATTCGTTTTTTCGTTCGTTCGTTCGTTCGTTCGTTCGTTTGTTTGTTCGTTTGTTTGTTCTTTCATTCTTCAAACAATCCGGTCTATTAATCTATTCATATCTCCATCCGGTATTTCATTCTCTCAAACGTTTATTCATTCATTACTTCCTTTCTCCGTTCTTTTACTTATTCATTAATTTATTCATTCATTCGTTTGTTCGTTCTTTCGTTCGTTCATTCATTCATTCATTCATTCATTCATTCATTCATTCATTCATTCATTCATTCATTCATTCATTCATTTGTTCATTAATTAATTAATTAATTCATTCATTCATTCATTCATAGCTGGTGACCTGCCAGTGTCACAACACAATCTTCGGACTCTTAAACTCATTGCTTTCCATATTTCACGAGTCTACACTGGGCGATACAGAGGTGATACTGATGATGATGACGACGACGACGATGACGATAGTGAATTGTTAACGGACATTATCTCTGTTGATTGGCTGGTTGATTGATTGGTTGATTGATTGATTGAT